GGGGGGGGGAGAATATTGATGAGTTATTGAAGATTGTCCGTAATGAATACCATTAGCATGTGACCTCAAATGACCGATGCCATTCTTTAGCCACCGTGCTGAACGGACATTTAAGAGTGCAACCTTGGCGCCCTCGTCTACGGAAGCAGGCAACGACTGAAGTATGACGGTTTAACTCATGACGGTACAGTGTGCTTTCAGCCGCTATTGAACCTGTGAAAGTCTCTCTTTAGGCGATGGAACGGTAGCCAAGGCAGACAGAACTGCTTCTTGCGTCTTGTGGTAGTTCTTGTAGACATCATGACTTCATACGGTACAAAGAGATTAAGGAATATCGTACGTAAAAATTGACAGAGCTGCTGAAAAAGATATTGCTTTTAACCGTAGCTAGTAAATAAATCCACAAAGAAGGTGTGATCTTATGGAATTTCAGCATGCACGAACGTGGCTTTGAACGTGGTATATTGATTTACAGACTATATGAAAGAAAAATATGGGTGATATTTGACGGATAACGTGGGGAACTGCAGAGAAAGCAGTTCAACTTTCAGCCATTTACATGACCAAGACCTAAAGAATCTTCCTTAATAGTGCTCAATAACAGAGATCTTATATTAGACCATTTAGACTTTGACTAAGACCTTAGCATTCAGAACGCTAAGAGTTTGTTTCCTACCTTCCGATGATACAGAATTCTTTTTCTTTTCCTTATTCACCATCATCTTCATCATTATCGCCGTCAACAACGTTATCATCATTAACAACAGCATCGTGTTCTTATGTTTAATTCCTCTTGATGATTTTAATAATCATCTTCCCATTCTTCATGATTATTAAAAACAACATCGTTATGATTTTCGTAATCACTATAATGTTTCTCTTCACGCATTTCCTTTCGTTGCTCATCGTCCTCGTCTTTTCCTTCTGAATGTTCTCCTTTCTTCTCCTTGATTATCACCGTCACCATGGAAATTATAATCATTCTCATTAACAGTGCGTTAATAATTTTGGTCACCGACATCAGGAGTTTGAATAAACGTTTCATGAGTGGAAATGATGACTCGAAGTCAAAGCATCAATTCCGTGAAGTTGAAGCGTACGCAGAACATGTTATGACTCAAAGAATATCTTGAAAAGTATAACAGATTGGTAAGAAGAAAAAAATAACCCTCATTCACCCATTCGTGTTCATAGCACATCATTCATTTTGATCTGCGACAGAAGCAAGTTCAGAACGTCTTTTAGTGGCTCAATCCTTAATCAATTGGGTTGCATTCCATGATATTACAATGCGAAAAGTTCAGCATACCTTAACCTCACCACAGGTCTACCCCTTGAGAGGTTGTCACGTGGATTTGTTAAGAAGCTAGCTTGCAAGTTGCACTTCTGGCATCCTTGTCACATGTGCAAGCCACCACAACTGTCTTCTGTCAATCAGGAAAAAGTGTGACTCGTAAGTCAGGATAGTTTGCATTGCTCTACTTTAAAGACTGTACCAGCTAGTCACCCAGTAGCTCTTCGGGACAACTTTGTTTCCGGAAACCGTGAGCTCTTCCTGGTATTTGCGTTTCCAAAGCTCGTTATGGACAATAAATTTATTTAACGAGTATGTAGATTGCATCTAATAATAAGAAAATGAAGCACTGTTACTTATGAGGAAGCTATGTACCTAATCCGTTCACTGGACTGCTTTTGAACAAAGGAATGCCATGGCGTTCGTTTCTACGCTCAGCTATGGCCATGCGCAATGGATATCGCCCAAAATATAAGACCACAGCACGAGTAGCTGAAATGGGATTACCGATGAAAATCGCGGCCTTACGCGTTCCTGTTGACTTCATAACTCAGCGATACGGACTTTCCTGAGGATCAAACAATTGAGGCATACTAAGTACGATGGTTTAAACATATCTTGCGAATGCCAATAGACAAGATGACTGATCAGGCATTTAGACGTTGATTCGAGATCGTCAATATCAGCTGATTTTCAGCCCTGCTGCCCTTGTGACTGAAATAAGAACAAGCGACGTCGAAAATTGATTGACTGTTGGCAGGGAAAGCAAAGAAGCTGTCGAAAGAAGCTCTCAAAAAGTTGAACGTTCATTTTTTACGAACGTTGTCATAATTTCACTGGTTGAAACTCATAGCAAAGAATGTTTACGGAAAGATATTGCTTTAGAGCAATTAATATGCGTTTGCTTGCTGTCGTCATCTTGGATGCAATATGTTCGACAGCTCTGATTTCATTGGACTGATGGCATCTGACATGCAGCAAATGTTTGCCGAGAATAATTTAGGCAATAAGTGCTTCGAGAACGGCTACAGCCCTTGTCGT